AGAGGGGAGTTTCTGCATCTAGGTTAGCCCAAACAGTATCTGACTTTGACATTAGTTACTTTTTTAGGTTGCACCAATGAAAATGTTCATGCAGGCTACTGAAAAAACCAATACATTGTCTCTAAATGAAACTCATTTTTTCAATGATATTAAGAGGATTATGCTAAAATACAAATTACTAACTAATTGATTTACAGGGAAAATATGAATATGCTAGGAATCTGCCAAACAAACAGAACTGTGAATGTTTTATGAATAAGTACTGTAATCATCTGCATATTACTTGGATATAAAAACAAACAACATTAGCATGAGGTAACTCTTAGTGTTTACACAATGTATTAATGAAAATGTGTCATCTCCTCCTAGTTTATATAAAGCAGTCAGTATACATTATAGTTCCTATCATCCATTGTTTTACACTGATTATTTGCTTAAATAATGATGTCAAGATCAATCATATGCACTAATGTGTGTATCCACTAAAATCATTCTTTTGTTCAGTTAATCATTTTGACCTTTGCAAAATACTACTAAGGTCTACCAGAAAGAAATGGAGCAGAACAGATCATTTTGTAGCTTTTGAAAACACATGAGCAACTAGCTGAGAATTCTACAAATCATTTCCACTGGAAGCTAAAGGATTAGACTGACGTATATTTCTCAAACTACATCTGTCATAACAAGTCTAAAAAAGCAACCAGCCTGCTGAGCAAAATCTGGCACTTTGGGAAAAGGTTTAAATAGCACTGAACACAAAACTTATCATCTCTATGCTTCTTTTTTCATATTTTTAAATAGAATCAATCAAGACCATATTTCTTTTCACCTTTACATTTGACTTCAAGTTACAAAGAAGGTTTTAATAATTTCTCAGGATACAAGTGTCATTCTGGACATTTTTTTCTTCAACCAGCAAAAATAAGGAGAGTCTCAGCTACAGCTGCTACTTCATCCACAATTCACATTAAAGGTCAGGAGGAAAAGCCAAGCCTATGGATTCTACTGACAATCTATTGATCCAATAGATTCAGATCCATTGATCTTGACATCACATCACCAGAGCCATTTAAATTCTTCTACTGAGATCTCATAATTTCAACCTCTTCCACATTTTGCACTGCACTGTATTCTTAGTGTGTTCTAAAAAGATATGCCTTAATATCTCCCAGTGCAAACAGTATGCCTGGTTGCAGCTAGGTCTTGTATAGGTCATGATTTTATATCTAAAGGGATAACTAAAAGTGGGAAACGTTTACAAATAATATTGCAATCTACATTGAATAGCATGGAGCCTGATCTCAATATGATACCTCACACACTTTGCTTTCTTATAGTATGTTCTGATAAGATGAAATTCATATCTCCCGGCAAGAAGACCACATAAAACAGTTATAATATGGGAGTCTTGTTGGCAATGGAATTTTCCCTAACCTGCAAGCAGCTGTTAGACTTTACCCCCGGCCTTCCACAGCTGCTGCTCCATTCAATGGGAAGCAATAGCAGCTGCAGCCCCTCCCTCTACATAGGGCTTTCTAGTCACTGGATGTGTATAAGCATGGAAGATGAATTGCTTATTATTGAATTGAATAGGTCTTTCGTGGAACTTCTCATTAGCAGCAACATGTTCTGTATAATATTAAAATATTATGTAAATCACAGTATATACTATGATAGTTTGTGTTACATCCAATTCAAAACAAGCATACACGTTACATGCTCCTCCATGAACTGGCTCTTCCCACTTATGCAGAGTCTGCAGGAATTAGGGAAGAGAAAAGTCACTGGGAAGCCCGCTCATTCCCCCACTTAGCACAGTAGCCCCCAAGTTTGATACACAGAGGACTTCACTCACGCCTATTAAGAGAAGCTCCACCAGCGTAAAACATTATGGCCTAAGGCCCCTCCCTCAAAAAAGCAGCTGTCCTGCCCACCAAATCTGAGTCACAGTGGTTCCTCCCCAACACTCCTTAAAGTGCACTTCTCCCATTTCAGTCAGAAATGTTCTCCCATAAAAAGAAAGAACAATCTTCTCCCCAGAAATATCTTAAGCTTCCCTCTGTTGGCTTCCCACAGTGTTCTCCAGCTCATCTGGTACCAAAGTGGGTCAGAGAGCTTTTCGTGTTGTCCTCCCATTCAGTCCAAGCCATTTTTCTTGACCAACCTAAGTAGAAATAATGTGAATTTAAGGATGAAAAAAATGTGCTTTTCAGAGCTGTTTGGAAAATGGGAGAGAAAACATTGCAAGAATTTGTGATCCCCCCTCCTCCCCATTTTCATCAAAATATTGTTTTTGTCAAAAGTTTCCAGCCAGCTCCAGTGTTTAGCGCGAATAGGAATATTGTTTGGATTTTGTTTCCCGTTTATAACTTTTCCGGTAGGGGGATTATTTTTTTCCTACACGCTTCCAAACATGATAATATTTATTAAACAGTTTTTCCATATCATTTTTAAAAGGTTAATATCTTTATTTGTGGAAATATATCTTCCTGTTCATCCTACATTTTCAGCTATGCCTGCAGAGGTTTAGCCATGTGACATGTTTTTTAGATCTTCCCTGCATTTCATTTTTAAAGACAGATTAGTTCTCTTGCACACCAGTATGTGGAAGAACTACAGAGGCAGAAAGGAGAGCTTAGAACAGTAGCAAAGACCCAAATTCATCCCTAGGAAAACCCAATCAGTGGAGTTCCACCATGGTTGACTCTGGTCAACAGCTTATAAATAGTTTTGGATTTGGAAAGAACAAACAGCTTTACTTCTTCCACAGAAAAGAAACAAGCCAAATCAACAAAGTAAAATAAAAGAGCCTCATCCATAATATGCATGATGGGGCTGGAGGTGTGCACTAAAATACATCCCATGAAAATCCAAGTTCAACAGGATTACCTAGGGTGAATCATAGTAGAATTTAGCCCGTGGCCTGCCCAATATTTTTTCTTTATTAATTTCATTTAGTGTTTGTTACAGATGCCAGCTTGACATCCCCAAAGGCTGAAGTCTTCTGTTCATCCAAGGAAGAGGTACAGCATAGGCAACTGCAGTGCAAGCTTCCATGCCCTGACATGCCAATGTATCTCAAACACTTTTCTAGAAGGGCCTCTGCTAGAGGGAGAGAGCAGTGGTGTAGTGGTAAACAAAGAAATGGGTAAACTAACCTACATTAAACTCCATAATCCCCAAACGAGAAGTGGGTAAACTCAATTTATCTGTGTTTAACCTCCACAACACTACCAATTCAATCAGCATCTTATTGTGCTGAGGCTGTCATTGACAAGGGTGCCAACTGATACCAATTGAGATGGTGTTTTTTTTGTGATGTAGATATAACACTATTAGAAAATGGATGGAAACCACCAATTTATTTTACCTAGAACACCAAATGGCTGTTAGACATTAATAATTTTTGGTAACTACCATCTTGGGCTATAGCAAATCCTGCTACAACCCTGGGAGCCATCAAACTACTGCAAAAGTTAGAGTTTAAAACAAAACACAACAAAACAGACATTTGGGTATTGAAAACAGCAAAAGAAGAATAGTCCAGAGGTACTAAACATTTTTCCTACAACTTAAAAAATGACAGAATTGGTTGTTTTAGTAACACTTGTTAAAATCAAAATGAATCCTGGACTAAAAACCTACACAACACATGTTACCACAGGGTGCAATTTCAATCCCTAGAAAACAAGGACCAAATCCATCATAATTACACCCATCCAACCCCAATGACTTCAATATGAGGGCAGAATTTGGCTCGAAGGTTTTGTGTTGGAGGATCTGACACAATCAGAAACATCATGGTAATACAGTGGCATGATGAAATTAGATTTTAGAGATTACTGACAGAACCTGCTTGCTGAGAAAGCAATTTATTCTCAAATGTGTTTTAAAGATAACTTGCTGAAGGGGAATACATTTGTAAAATAAATAATTTCAATCTCCAGAGCTCTTTTTCTTGTCTGTCAAGCTCCTTCTGGTCTTTAGTGTGCCCCACCATTCCAAATGATTAAATACCCCCTGGCTGATCCTCTGACTCTCTCCTCCACAATATGATCAGGGATTATTAAATGCTGTCAATGTCCCTGTCATCTGACATTACAACTTGTACATTCATCAATTTAAAGTCAGATGTTTTTATATTTCCATTTGCATGTTTCTAAAGGAAGAAAACCACTGAAATTAATCTTACATAAACCTTATTTACAGAAGCCCACACCAAAGTAACAAGTGCACAGGTTTCTTTTCCACCTACCCAGTGCACTAAAGGGAGCATTGTCTAGTCCACTTTGTATATCGACTTACTTTCAGAAAATAAATGCACAGAAATATATCTTTTAATGACTAGTAGCTGAAATATTGGCTTGTGGACATTAGGAGCATAGGCTCTGGGAATATAGCTCGCTGATCGGTGACTAACCCACATGCTTTGAAAAAAATAAATAAGCCCATAGACTTTTTTTTTAAAGGTATCGATTTGTGGTTTCAAACGGAAAGGGGCAGGTTAAGATATCCATGATAAAAATGAACTTCGGAGGACTCCCCTGCAGACATTAGGAAATGGCCCCGGGCGTTTGGAGGGGGGGTGCGGTTGGGGGGCTTTGTTGTCCCTGATTTCCATTGCCATTGCTGGGGTAACTTGCAGCCCAAACACATTGGTACCTGGGAAAGCAGCAGGCTCCTTCCTAGCAGGGGCTGAAAGGGAAAGACCCCCGCACCCCTTCCCCAAGAAATCGGGGAAGCTCTTTCCTGCTCCCAGCCACGGCAAATGGTGGCTGCAGATCCATACTAACCAAGGAAATACCCCGTTATTCTGATCCTCAGCAAAGCCCTCGCCCTGCACCAAAGCCCGCAGCTGCTTCTCGGCAGGGTCCCCGGGCTCGGGGGTGCCTTGCCAACAAGTTCATTCACTCGCGGGCGCTGGATGGGCAGCGCAGCCCGGGGTCGGAGCGCCGCCTGACTGGAGAAGGGGAGGGAGGGGAGAAGCGGCTCTTGCTTACCACCAGCACCGGGACCCCTGCGGCCAGCGCGTAGAGGAGCGCCGGGGGCACGGCGCTGCTGTCCTCCGGACCCGGGTAGGGCTTGCGGTAGGAGCCCTCGTAGCAGAAGAAGCCCTGCACGTTGACCGTGAAGGTGTCCGTGTACTCGAAGTAATAAGCCAGCATCACGGTCCCTGCCATGATCACCATCTGGAAGTAAAGCATGCTGATGAGCGCAGAGGGCACTGCCAGGCACTCCGGCTCCGGCGGCCGCGGCAGCCCCCCTCCCCGGCTGCGCGCTCCGCCCGCTCCCCGGCGGCATCCACCGGGGGAGGAGGCGGCTAGTCCCAGCCAGCAGCGGCGGCGGCACCCGGGCGCAAGCTGGAGCACATGGGCAGCGCAGGAGGCTGGTTAGTTCCGGGCAGCGGCTCGGCCCATGGGCTAGCGCCGGGCAGCTGCAGCAGCACGGCCCGGGCACAAGCCCGTGCCCATGGGCTGCTCCTGTCAGGCGGCTCCGCCCGAGCACGGGCTCGTGTACTGGGGGAGCAGGCGGCGGCTAGACCCGGGCAGCAGCGCCAGCTCCGTCCGGGCACGTGCAGGGGGAAGCGGGTCCCCTCCCGGGAGCAGCCCCTGGCCGCCGGAGCGGGGAGCCCGGCTGAGAAGCGGATCCGAGGGTTCCCCGCCAGTGGCGCTGGGGCCGCAGCCTTCGAGCCAAGCCCGCCCCCGGGCAGGTGCCTGACGCCTCTGCCCAGCGCCAGCCTCCCGCGGGAGGGAGGGGGCGGGAATCCCACAGTCACTCCGAGCCCGTCAGCTCAGTCCGCACGAGCCCGGCTCCGGGCAGGCAACGCAGTCGCCGCTCCTAGGCTGCCAAATCCTTTCCTCCCTTAGGGTTTTGTTTCTTTGTCCAAACAGCTGGAGCAATAATTGCCCGTGCTGAGCAGCCTTGTGCACAGCCCCTGCCGCCGCCGCCTCCACTCTAGCTGCTTGCTAGACTTGGCGTTGCGGAGCTCTCCTCCGAGCCAGCGATGCCAGCCCGTTAGAAACACACACACGCTGTCAGACTCCTCTTGCTCATCATCTGCTTTAACCTCGCTTTCCAAAATGCTGCACGGGGATTCCAGGGAGTTTAGCAAAGAGCGGGCACCCCAAAACCCTGCCCCAAACTTTGCCCTATTGCCGTTTGTTTGCAAGACAAGCACACTGATGCTGTCTCTTTAGTGCCAACGCTGTGGGTGCAGCTCGCGATCAGCAGGCAGTGGGCAGCTCCCTAGAGGACCCTCGAGATAGTCCCACCTGAAGCACTCCAGTGGGCAATGAGAGAGAGGGAGAGCAGGAAAATGGATCGAAAGCTCCCCAGAGCCTATTTCACCACCAGGCTTATCGAATTTTAATTTAGGTAACAAGGTTAGACTATAAGAGGCTGATCCCAAAACCACTGAAGTCAGCAGCCGTCTTTCCCTTGTCTTTAGTGAGCCTCTGATCAGACTCTAAGCACACACTTCCTATACTCTGCTTCTTGTGTGAAAACAACTTCATTCCTAGGACAAATATTTACTGAGATGGGCATTAAGAATGTTTAAATTTATAATAAATTCTCAGAAACTACAATATACTTTTCAATAGTACTATAATAATGCTATCCTACAGCAGTACAATGGTTAAATGCTTTTATTGTGTTCTTTAAATGCTTTATATGTATATTTACTTCATGAACATGAATAGGATCTTACCTGAGAGAGGACAATGTATATTTAACTTGATAAAATAAAACAAATACGCCATCCTTTGAGGAAATCACACTTACAATATAAATGGAAAAAAGAGTCTTCTAATTTAAAAATGCAAGCCTTTTAAAGATTAAACAAAAAATGGTAAATTCTTTTACAGATGTACCAATATAGTCTTCAAAAAGTTATGCTCTGAGATCAGAACTCCAAAAAATAAATACAGATAAGTAACTTTAAAGTTGTGCCCTAAAAGGACAAAAGCCAGAGACTGTAGTCAAAAAAGCTCAAACGTTCTTTTACAAGGCCACAATGTTAACCTTAAATTCATTTTAAAACTTTACTTGGCTTTGTTACTGCAATCAATCAGTCTGGTCTCAGTTGTGAACCAGATTTTCTCTCTCTATTCATGCAGTATATGAGTGTTTTCCTACTGGCTGTACTTGAGTCTTGAAAAATTGGTTTACCTCCGGGGTTCAGGAGCATTAACTTGGTATTATCCTGGTCTTGCAAGATGATGTTAGTCTACATGCACTCATTTCTAACTACTGCCTGAAAGAATATGTACTTTATAGCTGTGGAGCAAACTAAGTCTATTTTTGTTCATTTTTAACTTATTCTCCAAAAGAGGCCTTAAAGGAATTCATTTGTATTTATCAGATTTCATTAGTTTGTTAGATAAACTGTTAATATGCAGTGAGACATCTAGTGGTGAACTCTGCTCTGCCCAAATAGTTTTATTTTCCTTAGTGTAGCTGCCAGCAGTCACTGAAAGTGACCTACCTATGTGTGTCAAAATAGCTCAATGTGCATTGTTAGTTAGCTAAATATATACATAACTATTGTTATAGGGCCTGATCCAATACCCTTTGAACTCAGTGGAAAGACTCCCACTGACTGATAGGCATTGGTTCAGGCCCATAGCTTCCACTGTATTTCACTGGGAGTGCCATAGGAAAAGTGGCAACATTTGATGTTTAATGTGTGAGCATATGGTGTAGTGCCATATAACAAAGATTTGGGGCTTTTACTAATGTAAAATGTTCCTTGTTGGGGATACTAATGTTAAAGTAACATTGAATATTTAGGGAATGTGTATTGGAGCAGGACAAAATCACCAAGAGAATGTTATCTTTTTAATTTCTAGTTAATGCAACATCTGTGAGCATCCTACATTCTTGAATTTGTGTGGCAAATTCTCCTCCTGGATGTGCAAACAGAACTGCCATTGCACATACTCATTAAAGGGCAGGAAATGGCCTTTTTCTTGTGCTGATAAAATGAGCCTGTTTGAAGCTGATACAGAGGGTCATCAGTAGCAAAAGAGTGATGCATGTTTGTGGAAAAACAAGCAGGCTACAGCTGCTGTGACTTCATTGTTGATATGAGTGATAAATGTATTATCTGCTGTTTTTAAGTTCAACATAGAGCCTGTAAAGAAATTATTGAAAGCTTACAATTAAGAAACTTTACTCTTGTTTTTCTGTTGCTCTATAATGCTGTCAAATCTTAGCTGGGCACTCTAAAGTATGTGGCTTCCAGACACATTTAAATATATTGTACAGCAAACTGGAATATATGGGATTCAGCATATTAAATCCTATACATTTTTCATTTGAGTTCAGTTGTCTCAATCTAGTCCCCAGTACATCACAAAAAACACCATTACACAATTAGCACCCTGTTGGTTATCTCAGCAGAAGAGCCAAGGTCCGAATGGAAATGGAGAATGAGCTACTCCAACCAAGCAAATCTGAATTTTAATGGAAATCTTATCAAGTGGATAAGTAATTTACTAATAGGTTTACAGAGCTAGAGTCTGATCCTGTACCCCTAAAGTCAACTTGGAGTTTACCATCGTCACTATGATAGCTCTTCCAGGGGGGCTGTGATTCCAAAAAGTGGAGACATTATATAGAAAAATTGAGACATTTTGTTTTTCATTGAGAATTGTGCATGACCTGAGCAAACTTTATTATTAATTAGTTGAATCAATAGCAGTAGAAAATTGTACATGTTTAAATGGAATAGTCACAGCCACAATTGCGTGTGGTTCTTAGTATCAGAATCCTGATGCAGGATCTGACCCAATACAGAATAATATTTTGCAAAAAGTGTAACAAGGCTTGTGCAACTGCTGCCCTTACTATAGATATTCTGAGGATCCATAGAGGATTTGGTTCTGTAGGACTATCAATCCTGCATCTTTGACAGGCCAAAATCAATTTTAAATGGATGCATATTTTAAATTACAAGAGGATAAGCAAGCCTCCAGAACCAAGGGGTAATTCCCCCTACCCCTTTTTATTCAAAATTTTAAAATAGCCACTGTTTAAAACATTTTTATGCAAAAAAGTATAAAACATAAAATAACTTTTAAGCTGAGATTTTGAAAGCAAAGTTTCAGACTTGAATGAATATTTATGGCTGTTATAAAATTCTGAAAACATGATTTATAATATCAATGGTGACAAACAACCTTAACTATGACAGTACAAACATAATCAAAAACCCCACAGCAAGACTACAGAATTATAGATATTCATGCCTGTTGGGTGTGTTCTCCTGTTAAATCAGAAGTAACTTAAAAATGAAAAATAAATTTCTGATTCAAATTACTCAGATTACTTATTTTAAGTTCAAAATGCTTGCTTCTTGCCAATCAACAAGCTGGAAAAGAATACCACTCCAGCAGCAGCAGCAGCTACCACTGAGTTCTGGAGGAGTACAGGAGTCCACTATCAATATACAGGGACAATCTTGTGGCTTAATAAGTACTCAATTGCCATTGAAATCACACTGGAGTTGAGGACTGATGTTTGTCACTCTAGGAGCACAGGGTATTGCAGAATTGGCTCCCCACAATTCCAATTTTTTCAAAAAAATTCAACATGCCACTTAAAAAAAAGTAACTTGTAAAATGTATTTGCATACCGTGAAATGGTTGCTTGAACAGTACAAAATATTTGGTATATTGTGAAACAAGGAGCAAAGTCCAAATATCTTTGACTGTGTTTGACTAACAAAATCCAGTGTTGTACTTAAAAGACACAAATATATAGTAACTCTCCTTTTTTTTAAATGTAATTGAAGAAAGTGTTCTAGAATCTTAACACAATAAGATCTTCCATTAATCTGTCTCTTCCTCTCATTAGGCCCTTTAGGAGTTGTTATAAAATAAGGTGCAGGATCACCTTAGTCAACATAGAAGAAGTTGTAGCATTGTCAATGAGATTGCCTGCATGAGCAAGGATTACTCACATGAGTAAAAGTGGCAGGTTAAGGCCCAGTGATTTAATCTAATATCTGAAATTTAACCCAAAGTTCTAGAAGAGTGTTTGCTATGGTTTACCTCTAAAACTATGAATGTTTCAATGTAATAGGAAACTGTTTGATATGGCAATAAAATTTACAAAAATGCTTGGAGATTCCTTTTGGAATACAGGATCAGGCTCTGCAAGAATCCAATAATGCCAAACGTTTGGGTTTTCGTATTTATAAACATGCTTCCCATTTGTGCATACATACTGTATGAACACAAACATCTTGTACAGAATTAGCTTTATTCTGTGAATACAGTGTTGGATGATCAAATAAAACCATAGCTACACATTATATTATGGATGTAATATTTATTGGCTAAGCAGTTAAATATACAAATATTTATTAAAATCAAACAAATGCAAGACCGAGGACACAATCCCCAATGATTAATGCAATCTGCTAAGTATATTCTCTACTTACAGCATTCCTTTGATTTATACTAATAATATGCAGTGGCAGTTTGGCAGAGAAAGGCCAAGGACCAACAGTTTCTACAGGTGCTGCAAACAGCATAAAAAAGTGAATTGGTCAAATTGCCCATCTAATCACAGATAAAAAGTGGGTGGCAAAACCTATGTCAAACAGTATCTTATTCAAGAATAGTCTCATTAATTTCAATGAAATATTTCCAACGAAGGGCCTTATGGATTCTTGTTCGTTTCCATAAATAGAGCGGAAGCTTCACTCTCTTGTAATATTTTGAAATAGTGACCTTCAGACTGAGGATACTATTCCACTCGAAGACTTAAATCCATTTGCCTTCAGGTACCTAACATCGTTTCTGACAATATTTCCCAACTGCAAAACATATTATTACTACAAAAGGTGGTAAAGAAACAAAGCCAATAACTGGTGAGTCAGAAAGGATGAACAAGCTACTGTAACTACATCCAACTCAGTATCCTTCAGAGGATGTTGGGTAGAGTCCTTACTCACATATTTACTGCTACATTGTTAAATCTATAGTTCAAATTCTTTCCCTTGGCTACACCGGTGTACATTTGAACTCACTGCACTGACATCAGTGCCACAAACATTCAGGGCAGGGTGTAGGAACCTGCTCAGGATGGGGAGGATAGTGTGGATTGATGTCAAAATATCTTGTAGGAGACCTTCTGTCTCCGACCCCATTCCCATTAAAACAAAGAAATATCAGGGCCCAATTCTACCCATGGTTATTACACAAGGTGACTTTCACCCATGTACAGAGGACTTATATAAAGTCTACA